TTAAGATCTTAACATACTACATTGACGACAAGAAAATTTAACAATGAGTAATGACCATATTTTTTCAAAGTTTTGCAGAGTAGCTTTTCTAAAGATTTAAAAAAGTAACATCTTTTTCCTCTTAGAGTAAAACTATCATTATTATTTTTGTTAAACTTAAATAAATTCAGTTTTTTTACAGATCTTTGTAGTTAATGTAAAATGAATGACTATAATGAAAGATATAAAACAAGGTGAAAGCTGAAAGGTATGTCATGAAGCCTTTATTAGATTGAGTTTGTAAATCCCAGAAATGAGTGGAAAATGCAAATCAACCCCAATTAAAACCAATAATTTGATATACATCATGATATTTTTCTAGGGGGGGGTAAAAAAATTTCTAGGGGGGGGGTAAAAAAAAATTCGGCGCGCTTCGCGCGCCAAATTAAAAATATTTACCCCCCCCCTACAGAATCCTTATTTACGCCCCTGATTATACATATATTAATTACAACTAAAAAATTGATCAGACCCATGAAACAGTTTTTCTTTTAAAATGTGTTAATATGTTTAAACCTACAACATTAAAAAAAACAATAAATAATTTGGTATTTATGTGTGTGACTGTGCACTGTGCATGTGTAATGTGTATTTTACCAAGGGGGCTTGGTACATTCGACGCTTTCCAGGGGTGTATATTTTCTCGAAAATCATTTTTATCCCTAGATTGCGCGGAAGCAACTTTTTTAGAATATATTCCCTGAATTGGGGATTTAAATGAATTTTTGGGTAAAAAGTATCAAAAAAATAAAAGCAGCGAGTAATTCTCAAAAATATACTCCCTTTGAAGCTTTTTGAAATTCTACGAAACGCTCGGCGACGGGCACTCTTCCAAACCAATGGTTATTGAACGACGTTTAATATACCAGGCAAAACAGACTTCAACTTATTATCGGAGGCTTGAATGTGATGCTTTGTTACAATGAATAGTTAAATGAAAAAGTAATGTTTGACAACATTCCGCTCTGCAAAGATGCAACAAATATTTGTCAACTTTGCATTTCAAAAGTTTTAGAATTCCCAGCTAATTGATGATTATGGTAAAGGGAGAGGGGAAAGAACCCCCCCCCCCCACCCCCATAGAATTAACATTGTCACCATTCATAAAACCTATATTACTATGAATTTTAAGGTTTACTAACCTTGAACGAAGTTTGGAAAATTTCTCCTGGCATACAATATTGCCTGCATCCTGTCCCCACTGTTGAGGAGGTCGACAAATTTTAGTTTATGCAAGCGTAGTTCCAGGCTGGACTTCTGCTGTACTGTTGCACGACCATCAGTTTGAGAGAAGAATATACTCGAACCCTATAAAATGTATATTGTCAATGTATATGCTACATTTATTGACACGGGTAGAAATAGAAATATTCAAACAACAACCTTGTAAATAAAAATCAACTATATTTTTATAAAAAAAATATAACAACTAAAGGAGGCGTTGCATCTATGACATTTTTCAATATCTCAATTATCAATGGTGGTAGCCGGTTCTAACAGGGGCGGATACAGGATTTAAGTGATGGGGGGCAAGATTTTTTAGGAAAAAAAAATTCATAATTAGGAACAAAAAATCGCGCCGTAGACGAAAATTTTTGAAAATAAAAGTTGAAATTTTATATTCTCATTTTGGATTTTGAAATCTCACTACCACCAATACCAGAGTTTGAAAATAAAAGTTGAAATTTTATATTCTCATTTTGGATTTTTAAATCTCACTACCTGGCATACCACAGTTTGAAAATAAAAGTTTAAATTTTATATTTGGATTTTTGATTTTCAAATCTCACTACCGCCAATACCACAGTTTGAAAATAAAAGTTTAAATCTTTTATTCTCATTTTGGATTTTGAAATCTCACTACCGCCAATACCACAGTTTGAAAATAAAAGTTTAAATTTTATATTCTCATTTTGGATTTTGAAATCTCACTACCGCCACTACCACAGTTTGAAAATAAAAGTTTAAATTTTATATTCTCATTTTGGATTTTCAAATCTCACTTTTTATTTTTTTCATGAATCTCACTACCTTAGAACTTGACACTATATACTTTTATTTTATAAAACTGGGGCATTCTATACCTACAGGGGCGAATGTCCCCCCCCCCTTTATCCGCCCCTGGGTTCTACTAAAGCATGCATACAAATCTGATGCTCTAGGAACAGTATATGACGATAAATCTTCAATATCTCTGTTCGGAGACCGGAGATATAGGATAAGGTACCACCGTCAGCTCCGATTTTTTATTTCCGGCCCCTATGAACTTAAAGAGCCCAAATTCAAAACACTTACACTTTAGGACCTATGTAGTTTAATAAAAAATTAAATTTCTTTTTTCGATTCTATCATGTGAAGACAGGGTCTCAAAAACTGCATTTTTTCATTTTTCAAAAATATTTTTTGGGGGACTTCTGATCAAAAAAAACGAAAGAAAAAGGGTACTGAAAATGTTTACTAAACTATTATGAATCTATTTTAGAACAGGTGTTTTAAAAATGCAGGTTCTAGTTATGCATGTATGCTAAACTAATATTATAGGCTACGATTTTTCAACTCCAGTCCTACTGGACTTACAGAGCCCAAATTCAAAACACAAACACATTAGGATCTAAATGGTCTACCAAAAAATAAATAATATTCTGTCCTTGTACCTAACTGTCTCTGTAAATAACTTTTTTTATTCAACCAATCAATCATTTATTTTATCAAACAATCAATCATTCATTTGTTGTAACAATCAAACATCAATCAATCATTCATTTATTGTATCAATCAAACATCAATCAATCTAGGATTATGTTATTTCCAAAGCCGACGCCTCCGACGGCTCTGGTAATTTATGAACGTATACTACATGTGTCAAAAACAAAAATTAGAGAATTATCATTATGTTTGAAAAAAAGATACATAATAGTTTTATTTTTGATCAGAAGTCCCCCAAAAAAAACATTTGAAAAAAAAATAAAAAATGCAGTTTTTTGACACCCTCTGTTCGCATGCTAGAATCGAATTTTTTTTGATTTTTTAATTAAATTGGTCCTAAGGTGTAAGTGTTTAGAATTTGGGCTCTTTAAGTTCATAGGGGCCGGAAATGAAAAGTCGGAGCTGACGGTGGTACCTTATCCTATATCTCCGGTCTCCGAACAGAGATATTTACATGCCTTCACATTTTTACTTTCTCTTCCCCGATACTTAATTTTCTTCTTCTCCCTCTCACTCCCCTAATGGAACAGGTGGGAAGGGAGGAACAAAATTAAAAATAAACGCCCCCTAAAGGTTGTAGAAAGTAACATTAAACAATAAGAAATCAATTCATGTGTTTTTATGAATGAAATATTTAATTTTATTTCTTAGAATTTAGATTTCAACCCAGTTGGTTAGGTGTTACTACATTACAAACAAAATTGACAACCCATTTTTAACATGTAGATTTTCATTAACTTGAGATCTGAAAAGGAAAACAAACATAGAAACACCAAAACCAACACCGGGGAACATCACTTGCTAGATGGATTTTAATTTAAATCAGTGTTTAGAATCCATTTAATTTTGATGTGAATCCGAATCCTGGATCCGCCCTGTAAAAAATTTATACGGATCCGGATATAGGTCCTGAACATTTCTTCTTAAATTTACTGATTTTTTAACAAATGAATAAATTTCAAACATTTTTCTTCTTTTTTCGCTTTTTTGCAGAAATTTCGCGAACCATTTACAGATTTAGAAAGTTTTGCATCCTTTGATCCAAATATTTTTGCGGTTCCGGATCCAACGAATCCGGATCCTAAGCACTGATTTAAATCTTAAAAACACAATAATTGTGTTTAATAAAAACCTGCAAATTTAACGCATCTCTGTTTTCTGCAGCCCAATTTAAAGCAGGTTCTAGATTTCTCTCCTTAAAATATATATCTGTTATCTTTCATAAATCAATATAATGATCGTAGCAAGTCAACAAAGAATATGGAATACAGTAATCAAAATATTAACCCTTTTATTAATATGTCGGTAAAAAAATACCTTTAGTGCTCCTAGAATATTATTGAGTGCTAGAAATGGTTCTTTCTGAGATTTGTATTCATGTACCCCAGACTCCTGAAAAGTGAAAAAACCTGATTTAATAACACATATTCAACTCATCTTAGAGTTGGTTTTTCATTTAGAAAATGAATTAACTAAAAAAGTAGAGCAACAGCTTCTTCTACCGGGCGCAATAGAATCGAGAAAGTTTTCCATAATGTAATTCTTGGACATTCCATTTTCCATAAAGTTAAGAAAATGGCTCCTGTTTTATGGGACACCAGAAAGACTTAACGAAAAAAGTCGTAATTCTCGTTTTGTATCAACTTTCCAAATCATCTTTAACTTAAACTTAAAACCAATCTAAAAATAAACAAAGAGAAGAAATTAATTGAATTGTTGAGAAAATGCTTAAATCATTCTCAGTAGAGTTCTCTTCAATCCTATAATTTCAATTTGTTTAAGTATTTTGAACAAGACAATATCATGTAAAACAAAATAGAATTTAACTAATAAATTGGAAGAATTTTTCAGAGAGGTTCAGAAAAGGTTTTAATGAAATGTCAGAACCTATTTTCAAAGAGATTTAATTAAGAACATTTTCAGAATAAATTAATCTATTTTTGTATAAATCTGACAAACAGACTCTCACTTCAAGTCAGATGAAGGGAGGGGGGGGGGGGACATATTGAACTGCTTGTTATGCTGTCAGTGTCATGTTAACAAATAGCAATCTTAGTTAAAGCTAAATCTAATTTCAGAATTTAAAGGGAGTGACCGGCTATGTAAGGTTGAACTGAGTATGCAGTGATATGGAAAACTTCTTTCGGATTCATTTGAGACATATTAAACTTTTTAAAATCCTACTTTGGGGGTGGATACGTTTTCAGAATCAGTTTTTTTGAATTATTAAATAACGACGACATAAAATGTAAAAAAAGTTTTACAATAATCTACAGACGTCATGTATAGGGACATGTTAAGTAAATAAAAATTAATCATATCATCGAAAATAAGTAATCTTGTTCAATTATTAGTTTCTATTTTCTCATTATTCTGGTTTCTCAGTAATCAGTAAAGATTTTCGCAGACTTTCTAGAATTATTTTTGAAAAGACGACATTTGAAGAGTTTGAAGAAATCTGCGAATAAATTCAAAGAAGATAAGAAATTCAATATAATAATGAAAACTAAATAATTGATTTTAGCATTGATTTATTGACAAATTTCTTTTGAGAAATATGTTTCTAACCATCTAATTAGATTTAATGTATAATTTTTACTTTATTTTTCGTTGTCGTTATTTAATACTTTAAAAAAACTAATTTTATTTCTGAACGTCGAATTTGCGCTTTAACTCAGGATTTACAGATCTTTAAAAAGTTTAATATGTCTCAAATGAATCCGAAAGAAGTTTTCCACAACACTGCATACTCAGTTCAACTACCTTTACAAGGCCGGTCACTTTTTAAGTTTGAGTTCCTTTCCCCCATCTCGACAACTGAAAAGACCTTTTTTTACTTAAAACTATGTTGAGTTTATGCAAGGGGGAAAAGTTCAATCCCGGGATATGTATTTTCTTGGGAATCATTTTCAACTACTGTATTTTACCCATTGGTGAAATTTAATGGTATTGGTTTTTAATGGAAAAATATGTTTATTTTATCGAAGTGGATAAATAGAAGTAAAACTTAGCTCCCATTCCTTCCCTTCCCCACCCTATCCCTTCCATTTCCTTTCATACCTTTTTAACTTCCTTTCCTACCTTTCTAACTTCCTTTCCTACCTTCACTTTAAACCTTACTTTAACTTCTCTTTCCTAGTTCCCTTTTACCTTCCTGCTTTCTCGAATCTTTGATTTCTAAATCTAATAAAGAAATTATTTACACCACTAAAAATGTATTATCAGGTTTGAAATTGGTTTGGAAATGATATCCATTATCCAAAAAATGAGTAATTTTTTTGCATTTTTATATAAAATTAGTTTTAGATATTAAGTAAAAGTGTCTTTTGAGTTATCATCGACTTTGTTGAAGAAAATAAGAAAATAAAAAATGCTGCAGGGGGGGGAGAGGGGGTGTTAAACAAGATTAATTATAAACATCCCTTACTATTTTCCCCAAAGGGAAAGGGAAAATAGAAGGGAAGGAGAAGGAAGGTAAGGGAAACAAAAAAGGAAAAAATAGGGAACGGAAGTAAGTAGAGATGGGACGGAAGGGGAAGGCAGGGAAAAGAAAGGAAGGAAGAGGAATACAGAAAAATATCCCTAAAATTCACGAATAATCATTAATTTTCCCCAAAAGTCTAGCACAACTAGTCTAGTTGGTGCAACTATTCTTTTGGAATTAATAAGTGATTTTATTCACAAATCTTAAAAAAATACTGTCCGTGGCATAATTATTATTATTATTAACAATCAACCTACAGACAACGTATTACGACCTGTAGGCTGGAACACATTGAAGATAGGGTTGAGCTTGACAGAAGTAAGAGTATGCAAGATGATTATCGAGGATCCAAAAAATAAAAAAATAAAATTACCTCTGCCAGAGTTTGAGCAATAGTTAGGTGACCTTGTCTGTACAAGTGCTGCAGAATAACTTCATTTAACAGATGTTCTTTATTAGGGCCCCTAAAATTGCACCGATAGATATTTTTGTGAATAATCATTTGCCGAGATAATCAATCATCCATAGCCATGAGTAGCTCCGGAATAAAATTCCAGATGTTCGAACCGTTCTTTTAGAAAAAGTAGGATAAGATTAGGCTTATACTACAGAAAAATAGAATTTTTTTAAATAATAGCTTGAAAATCACCAAATTTAGAGAAAACGAAAATTTTGTGCACCTAAAATTTGTTAAAATTTATTTATTTCAAAAACATTGGGAATTAGTTCAGAGGCATTGGCTGTCTAAACCCCCCCCCCCCCTTCATGATACACAACCACGGGTCCGGAACAAAGCGGCGAAGTATAAACAAAATAAAACTGCTCTGCTTTAAAAGTTTCAGAAAAAAAAATTACATGATGAAGTTAAAGTCAAAAGAATGATATTTTTCTTTAGCGACAGAAATTAGTTTATCTTGAAAGTGATGCTCGACTGCTACGAATAAATATTTTAAAACAATTAAATAAATGCCAATTGTGAAAAAGAAATCATTCGGCAATCCTTCGCACGACAGCACTACTAAAAAAATTTATGCGAATATGTTACCTTAAAACATCTTCTCGTGAGGTTGAGTCGAAATCTGAGACAAAGTTTCTGTCTATAGCTTTCCCGACCTTCGACACAGTTGAATGTAGGTCTCTGTGCTCAGTAGCGATTCTTCCTATACCATCAGAGATCTTTAGTGTGAGATGCTTGAGATCAGTTTTGTGCACACTGGTAAGTTGCTCGTCCTCTCCTGTGGCAAGTACTGCACGCAATGCTTCTAAAGAATAAAGGTATTTTGTTCATTCTAATACTTACATGTACCAAGACGGGCAATTCTTTCCGATTTATCTTTAAAAATATCAGAGGTCTGAATTTAAGTGTCGATTGTCGTTAAACTTGAACGCTTAATTGATATCCATGTGTGCGCACTTTTAAATTTGAGGATACTTTATCTTTAAATTAAAGTTTCAGGAGAGGGGAATAATAATTTACAAAGACAAAAATTATGAGGTTTTCTTTGTTAGTTTATTTCGCATCACAAGTTTGAGAGAATGACTGGCGTTTCTTAGAGCTTTGTCCATTCTGTCCATCCTTTTCACAGGTTTTGGAAGCACTTATGTTGTTTACATTGCTCCCATAGAGAAGGGTAATCAATTTGCGAACGTTTGATTTTGGGTTCCTCGTTCCTATTGTAGTTCCTTTAAGCTAAGCCTGAAAACTAAAAAGCTGTTGACCATGGCGCCTCCTTATCAAGCTTATAAGTAACTACCTAAATTCTTGAAACATTATTTCTGGTCCGTCATAGAATACGATTTTTGGACCCCCTCGGTCTTCCCTCCCACCTCCTATCAATTTTGTACATGGCCTAGATTTCAGCTATTTTCAACAAAAAAATATTTATTTTGTGTTATTTCAGGGTTAAGTTAGGACAATTTCAAGGCCGAGCACTGCGACTAGGACAGTCTAGCGGGCCGAGCTCTGAGGCCAGGATAGACCTTCGATTTCAACAAAATCAGTATATATTTAGAGGTAGGTTCAGACACTTTCTGGCCGAGCGCTCCGGGTAAAACAGGAAAGAAGGCCGAGCGCTGCGGCTAGGACAGGCTATAGGGGGCCGAACGCCGCGGCCAGGAAAGACTAGGGGGCTGGGCGCTGCAGCCACATGACCAACTTCATTCTTGAGTTTTATATTATATACATGTACAAAATTGATAGGAGGGGCGGGGGGCGCACGGGAGGGGGGCGAGGTCCAAAAATCGTTCTTAATGAAATTACCTTTGTTTCAGTTAAGTCTCACCTAGAGTAAATAAAAAAAATGTGTCTGTCCTAGTATACGTTTACCAAAAAAATAATGTTTTACCTATTTGACTTATTTGATCATCGATACTTTTATTAATAGTCTTTCCCAGATTAGAAAATTTTGATAGAACTTTATCAGCCTCTCTTCCCACAGCAGAACACGCGTCCATTTTATTTAGAAGTTCTGAATAAAATAAATATTATTGTTTATTGAGTTGAAATTCTTTGCAGATATTTCTTCAGAACAATTTGGAAAGAGTGAACATTTCTATAATTTAAGACATAAATCCTTTACAATTTTGCGCATGCAGCCAAAGATAATTGAAGTATTTTAATACATAATAAGCATTATATCTTATATCTTTATATCTTAAGAAACAAGGTTTTATCGATTCTTGGAAAAAACAGGTTATGATTTGTGAAGATGTTAAATGAGAAATTGTTTATGATCGCATTTGATTATTAAAGAATGACGCGCGGCGGCGTTACGATAAAAATTATATTATTTATTCTCTACTAAAGAATTCTAGGACCAATACTAGTAATATTATAAAATCCTCTCTCTGTACACAGGACAAAAACCCAGAAAATCCATTGTTTTTAGATTAGAAATTACATTTGACAATGACATACTAAAAGCTAGCATGCCGCAATATATTGCAATGTTTAATTTTTTTTATAAATTCATACAGTCTGTAGAAAGATCTATAAGGCTAAGTTATTTTTCTTATAAGTTCACTCTTAATCCTCTTGACTTCAGAATAATAAAAAGTTCTTGTATTTTTTTGCAAAGTCGGAATTTGTCACAATTTTTTAAGAGGGAAATAATCTTTGTCGTCTTCCGGAACCTTTTAAAGTTGGGATGCTATCGATTAAACTCATGTCCGTACCCGCTCATCGAACCTAGAGGAAACGAACCTATTGAGTTTCAGACCTAACGTTTTTCTGACCTAACATTTTTCCAACCTAAAAATCTGTAGGTTCGATTAGCGAATATCCCAAACTGACGTAAAGATTGGCAATATATTTATTTATTAATATTTTTAGGTCTGCCATGTTATATATTTTAGGTTGGTTATATATAAAGCAACAATTTTAGGTTAGATAAGCATTCATAGGTCGGTTGAGCAATTTTTTTTAGGTCGGATGAGCAATATTAGGTATCGATGAGTATAATATTTTTAGGTCGAATGAGCAATATTTTTAGGTCGCGGTTAGGTCGGATGAGCAATATGTTTAGGTCGGATGAGCATGTATTTTTTGGTCGGTTAAGCAATATTTTAGGTCGGATGAGCAATTTTTAGGTTTAATGAGCAATATTTTTAGGTCGAATGAGCTAAAAATATTGCTCATCCGACCTAAAAATATTGCTCGTCATAACACAATTGCTCATCAGACCTAAAAATATTTGGTATCCACCCTAAAAAAATTGCTCATCCGACCTAAAAATATTGCTCCTATCACACGTACTTAAAAAATTGCTCTTCTGACCTAAAAATTGCTCATCCGACCATAAAAATATATTCATGCGACCTAAAAAAATTGCTCATCATGACCATAAAATATTGCTTATCCGACCTAAAAATATTGCTCATCCGACTTAAAAAAATTGCTCATCCGACCTAAAAAAAATTGCTCTTAACTGACCTAAAAATATTGCTCATCCGACCTAAAAATAGTGCTCATCCGACCTAAAAAAATTGCTCATCCGATCTAAAAATATTGCACATCGGACCTTAAAATATTTGGTGGCCACCCTATATTGCTCATCCGACCTAAAAAAAATTGCTCATTGACCTAAAAATATTGCTTATCCGACTTAAAAATATTGCTCATCCGACCTAAAAAAATTGCTCAACCAACCTAAAAATATTGCTTCAGACCTAAAATTGTCACCAACCCAACTTAAACTTTGTGGTGTATATTTTTCGACCTACACATTAAGCCATACCAGTTCATGCTTCTGACCTATGCCAACCGCTATACTACCATCTGACCTACTAGCACGTGGTACTGCTGCTATAATGGACTTATGGCCGCTGCAATGCCCGGCCCCCTAGCCTGCATCCTAGCCGCGGCGCTCGGCCCCCAGTAGCCTGTCCTAGCCGCAGCACTCGGCCCAGAAATTGTCTTAACCTAACCTAACCCCTCAAATAATACTAAAATAAACAGCTGGCGTAGGTCCGATATTGCAGTAGGTCGGAAAGTTAGTAGGTCAGAAGTTCAGTAGGGGGGATGTTGCGTATAGACGAAGTAACATTAGATACAGGGTGTCCCACATCAAATTAGACCGCGTCAATGGGTCTAAATTACGATTTAGGGGACAAATCAGAAAATTTAAGAAGAATGAATCATTTTGAAAAATTTAATAAGGCTAACAGAAATTTATTTTGGCAGAAAATGCTAGATTTTTCGAGTATTATGTGCGTATTTTGGTGTTAAAGATTGGAGATAATCTAATATGATATGGGACGCTCTGTAGGTATAGAGAGGGGTTTCAAGGGATAATAAGAGGAGAGGACATCACGGGCTGGACGAGAGGGGGAAATATGGGCAGGTTTAGTCAAAGGAAAGTTGCAGAGGAAAGGATGTTAAAGTTTAGTTTGTTTAGCAAATTCAGCGAATTCCTCGTAGTATTTATATTGCTTATAATGCATAAAAGATCAGTTATCGGTTACCACCAAGTTAGCTAGTGCAAGAGTNCCCCTAGCAAAAGTCCTAGTTGCGCCTCTTGATGTGTTAGAATTTAAATTGATTTGCTTACGATCCGAATCATACATTGCATTTTTCTGAATTTTTTATGGACGCTATGTTCTTCGGTATAAGTTTTGACAATTTTCTCCTTGTAGACGCAACAGATAGAAGTAAGATTAGTAGCGATCAAAAGCGATCATTTTTCGCAGTAAGCTTATACCCCCTTTCATTTTTCGCGAACACCCCCTTTAAGTAATTTTCTATTTTGATTTTGACTGAACCAGCTAGGTTGCTTATGGTTGAAACCTTTTAGTTCTGAACGTTTTGTTGAATGTTCTTGATGATTATTGTGAAAATCATGCAAATGATTGATAGAAGATAAATTGCTTATTCCTGACAATTTAGACACCAGTCCAGTTTCTGACTGCTGGAACATTTGCTTGATTTCAGTATTATTACTTACACTCCACCTCTCATGTCTAACAAACATTTCAAAACTATCAAAAGTATATTTTATAATTTTAAGAGAAAGCAAAAATGAACTTTTAGTCCATATTTGAAAACATGCATCATGTCCAAATTTACTTGCAGACGGTTTAAAACCAATAAGATGTTCTTTAACATGCAATCATATCTATGTATAATATGCTTTGGTTAAAACAACAAATAATACAAATACAATAGTAGAGTAGGCATCTTTGAATTCATCAGCCTTACCATATTTTCATATTAGCTTTTACTTAAAAGCAACTAAAAACTAAAAAATTAAATTAATACGCAACTATACATTAAAAAAAACAGATTGTCACAAAAAAAGGAATTTAGAAACGTCTTTGACTTCCTCTGGTTCATATACATTGCAGATTAGCTTTATGTTGTTTTATTTTGGCTTTCCAAAATTTATTTTTATGATACATTATAAGTACATTTTGGATATCCGAAACAATCTGCGTTTGTTTCTTATTAATTAATTAATTCGACAATTTGACAAAATTGCAGGTCCATTGTTTTTGTTTAAACTTCCGTGAGCCTGTTATAGTGGGTTTATGGCTGGTAGAACTGAAAAAATCGTGCCTGAAAAAAGGTCGCCATTCAAGATTTTTGAAAATCCACCAATTAAAAAATGGCGGCTTAATATTATGTATAATCGTATTTAAATTTTCATGTTTAGTTGGACCCACTGTTTGAGATTTATTTGGTTTCCGAGAACCGGTCTCTCTACAGAAAAAAACGAATTGAAAATAATTTTATCCGTTTACTTTTCGTGAATTCCAAGTACTGAAAACAATTTCATATTCCAAACCCAATTGATGAATAATATTAAGTAAGGACATCCTTCCATTCCAGGAACTTTTACGGGGGGGGGGGGGAAATTTGGGAATTTAGTTTGGGAGAGTAGCTGGAAAACAAAAATTCTAAAATGTTCCCCCCTTTTCTCTCAGATTTTGCGACAGAACCAACCATTTCCATGGGATCGAATTTAATGATGAAATTAAAATACCTACTGCCGGTTTAAATTTGAACCACCGATTTGCAGAGTTAAAGACTGAGGAAGGATTTGAATCGGTAATAAAAATTGGAACTGACGGTACCTAAGATCAGTTCAAGTTCATTAAATTCAGGTTTTTTTTACCATGGGGGGGGGGCGCCACTTTGTACCCCTTTGGACGTCCTGGCTGGCCTATTCTAACCGCTAACTTAAATGCATTCAATATACATAAAGGGATAATGCAAAGATAATATATATAGATACGCTGGCAGGTAGAAATTTGAGCTCGTGAGAAAAAGTGCAATTAGCACCATCTGATCGTACGCATGGCATTTTATCCTCTGGATTGTTGCTAATTTATCACTTTGTTTATGTGCGATAACACTAAATGCGTACTATAGTATCAACAATTATATTGTACTTAATGAAACATGCAAATTAATCAATGCAAATAAAACTGAGGTAGGAATTTGACTAGACAAAGTTAAAATGTGCAAGTTGTACTGAATGGCATACGTAAATTAACGCAATTTAAATAAAAATTATGACTAAAAAGTACATCGAATCTAGGACAAAGTCCTAATAGCGGACAGGATCCGGTCGAACAATACATTCCATTCAACACTACTATGGTCGGTTGCTCCTGGCTCTTCATGGCTCACAACTGGCTCATCACCCCCTTCACCCCAAAAACTCAAAAAAACAACTCCATTACTTTCCTAAAATGATCATCCTAGGTTTGGTGCGCTCAAAACTTCAATTGGATTGGTATATAAATAAGAAATAAGCCAGCCCCAGTCAATTATCCCCCTTATAGCCTTAGTTTAATTTTTTAAAATAATTCAAATGTGCCATGAAAATTCCCAAATAAGTAAACAGTCCCTTTAAACCTCTGTTTTTGAAACTTTCCAAATTCATAGGAAATTCTGCAAACAAATCCAAGAAGGAACTGTTAATCTTTTCTTTGTTATTATGCAATAAAGTTAGCATTCCGGCTGGGGGGGGGGGGGGTTTTGGGTTACCCC